AAAGGTACCTAGGGATTGGCAGACAGCATGCATAGTTCCTTTGATACAAGCAAAGGGACAAAAGAGAGTGGCAAAATTATAGGGGGATAAGTCTGATGATTATACCTGGTAAAGTGTATGGTAGAGTTATTATTGAAAGAATTAAGAGTAAGATGGAGAATAGGATAGCAGATGAACAAGGAGGCTTTAGGAAAGGTAGGGGGTGTGTGGACCAGGTGTTTACAGTGAAACATATAAGTGAACAGTATTTAGATAAGGCTAAAGAGGTCTTTGTGGCATTTGTGGATTTGGAAAAGGCGTATGACAGGGTGGACAGGGGGGCAATGTGGCAGATGTTGCAGGTGTATGGTGTAGGAGGTAGGTTACTGAAAGCAGTGAAGAGTTTTTATGAGGATAGTGAGGCTCAAGTTAGAGTATGTAGGAAAGAGGGAAATTATTTCCCAGTAAAAGTAGGCCTTAGACAAGGATGTGTGATGTCACCATGGTTATCTAATATATTTATAGATGGGGTTGTAAGAGAAGTAAATGCGAGGGTCTTGGCAAGAGGCTTGGAGTTAAAATATAAAGAATCTAACAAAGTGGGAGTTGTCACAGTTGCTCTTTGCTGATGACACCATGCTCTTGGGAGATTCTGAAGAGAAGTTGCAGAGATTGGTGGATGAATTTGGTAGGGTGTGCAAAAGAAGAAAATTAAAAGTGAATACAGGAAAGAGTAAGGTTATGAGGATAACAAAAAGATTAGGTGATGAAAGATTGGATATCAGATTGGAGGGAGAGAGTATGGAGGAGGTGAATGTATTCAGATATTTGGGAGTGGATGTGTCAGTGGATGGGTCTATGAAAGATGAGGTGAATCATAGAACTGATGAGGGGAAAAGGGTGAGCAGTGCACTTAGGAGTCTGTGGAGACAAAGAACTTTGTCCTTGGAGGCAAAGAGGGGAATGTATGAGAGTATATGACTCAAGAAATCGTAATGACACAATTGCAAACAAACCATACCCCCGGCCGGGCTGGAGTTTTGAGACTCTATGACCGCGGGTTCAATCCCGGCCGGGGGTATGGTATGAGAGTATAGTTTTACCAATGCTCTTATATGGGTGTGAAGCATGGGTGATGAATGTTGCAGCGAGGAGAAGGCTGGAGGCAGTGGAGATGTCATGTCTGAGGGCAATGTGTGGTGTGAATATAATGCAGAGAATTTGTAGTTTGGAAGTTAGGAGGAGGTGCGGGATTACCAAAACTGTTGTCCAGAGGGCTGAGGAAGGGTTGTTGAGTTGGTTCGAACATGTAGAGTGAATGGAGCGAAACAGAGTGACTTCAAGAGTGTATCAGTCTGTAGTGGAAGGAAGGCAGGGTAGGGGTCGGCCTAGGAAAGGTTGGAGGGAGGGGGTAAAGGAGATTTTGTGTGCAAGGGGCTTGGACTTCCAGCAGGCATGCGTGAGTGTGTTTGATAGGAGTGAATGGAGACAAATGGTTTTTAATACTTGACGTGCTGTTGGAGTGTGAGCAAAGTAACATTTATGAAGGGGTTCAGGGAAACTGGCAGGCTGGACTTGAGTCCTGGAGATGGGAAGTACAGTGCCTGCACTCTGAAAGAGGGGTGTTAATGTTGCAGTTTAAAAACTGTAGTGTAAAGCACCCTTCTGGCAAGACAGTGATGGAGTGAATGATGGTGAAAGTTTTTCTTTTTCGGGCCACCCTGCCTTGGTGGGAATCGGCCAGTGTGATAATAAAAAAAAAAATAAAAATAAACATGTCGCATCAACACTAATAAGTAAACTACCGGCTGCATCAAATACCTTTAACACAGACTCTGATAAGTTTAAAACATACTATACCAATAAAGGGGTAACCCCAAACAGTTGTCAACTAGCAAGTGTTAAACCCAAGAGCACTGGCCTAGATAACATCCTGTCATAATTCCTAAAAGATGGTGCCTCTGAATTGCCAATCCCCATTGCTCCATAATAAATTTGTCCATCACCACTAATACTGTACCAAAGGAGTTCAAGGAGGCCAGAGTTACTCCTATCTTCAAGAAAAATGGTAGGTCTGATGTCAGCAACTATAGGCCTGTTAGTATACTCAGTGCAATATCCAAAATTCTAGAAAGGGTGGTGTACTGTCAAGTATGTGATGAATGGTTTGAAAAACTGACAAGTTGAAGATTGAGACACTTATGCAACATATGGGAATCTTTATTCAGGAAACGTTTCGCCACACAGTGGCTTCATCAGTCCAATACAAAGCAGAAGGTGTAACTAGAGGAGGAGTTTGAGGTGAGGGACTGATTACCTCAAACTCCTCTCCTTACACCTTCTGCTTTGTACTGGACTGATGAAGCCACTATGTGGCAAAACATTTCCTGAATAAAGATTCCCATATGTTGCATAAGTGTCTCACTCTTCTACTGTCAAGTAGTCAAGTATCTTAAGGACAACAACCTTCTTCATAGTTACCAATCAGGCTTTAGGAGATCTTATTCAACTGACACCTCCCTAATTAATCTGATGGATTATTGAGAACTGAAATGTCGATAGGGAACCTCATAAGAATATTAACCTTAGACTTGCAAAAGGCCTTCAGTACTGTCAATCACCTCAATTACTGGGAGCGCTTGAGGTTTCTAAACCTGTATTCCCTGGAACGCAGGAGGGAGAGATACATGATTATATACACCTGGAAAATCCTAGAGGGACTAGTACCGAACTTGCACACGAAAATCACTCACTACGAAAGCAAAAGACTTGGCAGACGATGCACCATCCCCCCAATGAAAAGCAGGGGTGTCACTAGCACGTTAAGAGACCATACAATAAGTGTCAGGGGCCCGAGACTGTTCAACTGCCTCCCAGCACACATAAGGGGGATTACCAACAGACCCCTGGCAGTCTTCAAGCTGGCACTGGACAAGCACCTAAAGTCAGTTCCTGATCAGCCGGGCTGTGGCTCGTACGTTGGTTTGCGTGCAGCCAGCAGCAACAGCCTGGTTGATCAGGCGCTGATCCACCAGGAGGCCTGGTCACAGACCGGGCCGCGGGGGCGTTGACCCCCGAAACTCTCTCCAGGTAAACTCCAGGTAAACAATATATTATGCAAGAAAATTCAAGTCAGAGGTGCCAAGCCCACAATGACACTCTTCAGGCTGCTTGTTCTATCTAGGCTGGAATATTGTTGCACACTAACAGCACCTTTCAAGGCAGGTGAAATTGCTGACCTAGCAAATGTACAGAAAACCTGCACAGCACACATAACTGCGATAAAGCACCTCAATTACTGGGAATGCTTGAAGTTCCTCAATCTGTACTCCCTAGAATGCAGGTGAATGAGATACATGATTATTTACACTTGGAAAATCCTAGAGGAATTAGTACCAAACTTGCACACGAAAATCACTCCCTATGAAAGCAAAAGACTCTGCAGAACTCTCTCCAGATAAACTCTCTCCAGACGATGCAACATCCCCCAATGAAAAGCATGGGTGCCACTAGCACAACACTAAGTGTCAGGGGCCCAAGACTGTTCAACTGCCTCCCAGCATACATAAGAGGGATTACCAATAGACCCCTGGCTGTCTTCAAGCAGGCACTGGACAGGCACCTAAACTTAGTACCTGACCAGCCAGGCTGTGGTTTGTATGTCGGGTTGTGTGCGGCCAACAGTAACAGTCTGGTTGATCAGGCCCTGATTCACTATGAAGCCTGGTCACAGACCAGGCAGTGGGGGCTTTGACCCCCAGAACCCTCTCCAGGTATACTTCAGGTTCCATACACTGGTTTAAGTCCTATCTTAACAACAGGACACAAATTGTCAAAATCAACAAAACAGAATCAGACTCCCCTGTCAATAGCATGTGGAGTTCCCAAGGTAGTACTCTGGGCCCTTTATTATTCTTATGTTATGTAAACGGCATGCCCATCAGTGTCAGGTGCAAACTACAACTGTATGCAGATGACAGTGCTCTGTTAGTGTCAGGTAGACCCACAAGATATAGCTAATGTAATAACACTGGAACTGGATTCCTGCAGCAAATGGTTAGTAGACAACAAACTATTATTACACCTTGGGAAAATGGAAGCCATACTCTTTGGCACGAAACAAGCTGAGAAGGGCAAATAACTTTAATGTCTGGTGTAATGGGAAACCCATCACTTCAGTTTCCTCAGTAAAATATTTGGGAATCCCCTTTAACCCTTGCATGTCAGGAGAATTGATAGGGAACAGTGTAGTAAAGAAAGCGAATACCAGAGTGAAGTTCCTCTACAGACAAGCACAGTGTCTACCTACTGAGGATCGCAGGACCCTATGTCTAGCCTTTATACAATGTCATATGGATTACGCTTGCTTTTCATGGTACTCTGCCTTGACCAAAAAAACTGAAAGATAAACTGCAAATCACCCAGAACAAAATGGTAAGATTCATCCTGGACCTGAGTCCAAGAGAACATGTAGACCAGGATAAATTACAACAATTGGATATGCTGAATGTTGAAGACAGAGTAAAACAACTGAAGTTAAATCAAGTTTACAAAATTGCTCACAAACAGTGTCCAAAATACCTTGCTGCCAATTTTGTCAAAGTTGGGAACCACAGCAATCATAGTACTAGAGGGAGAGAACACAACTTTGTAGTACACACTCAGTGGCCAGGCTTCAAACACCTTTTATTGTACAGCAATAAAGGAATGGAACAAACTGCCTATACATGTCAAAGCCAGTCATAGCATGAACCAGTTCAAGAAGAGTGGCAAAAGGTGTCTGATGAATGTAGAGACAGAAAGGGAGAATGATTTTTTGTTTTTAGCTAACACACATGTAAATATAAACAACTCATTTTACCTTATTCCTAGTATATCCCCTTTATAGTATAATAATATATTATCTTCTTTATAGAATAATAATAAGGTATCAAGCGGACCCCAGTGAAAATAAGTTACTCTGACTTTTTTTTGGGGTTATCCTAGCTTCTTTACACATATGCTGCTACGTATGAACTTACTTGACTTTCTTCTTTGTTGGGTTTATCAGGGCCAGTGACAGCCCGGCTTCTCGATGGTACGAGGAAAAATTGTTGCCCGAGGCTGGGCGATGAGAGAAAAGGAACAAAAGTTCCTTTGTAAACAGATAGAAACTTGAAGTTTCCAATTAGATCCGGTGGACCCCCTTGCTAAGCTCCAGCAGAGAGGGACGCCTGAACTTGCTTGACGTACCTACAGTGTCACAACTTCTTGTTGGAGTTTTATACGGCCACTAACAACTTATACCGTGAGGAAATGGTATGGTGATACCGACAAGATGTGGAAAAAGACACTTATATACAGTTCAGGACATTTATTAAAGGAAACGTTTCGCCACGAGTGGCTTCATCAGTCCTAACAGAGAAAACTAAGAAAACGCATATATGGGTAATATCGTGTTGACTAGCAATTTAGAGATACTGTAACTACCGGATTTTTGCTTTATAGTGTTACTGACAACAATTAGTGCAGCTTCTATGCATTTTCTCCGTCTTAAGTCGTCTTCTTTAATCACTAGTTACAGCATCTCTAAATTGCTAATCAACAGGATATTACCCATTCTGGAAACTGCAGTTACATGATGTCAGCAGGTCCCTCTCTAGCCATCTGTCTCACCTCCTTAGTTCCACTACTACTACCACCTTTACCCACACTACTCTTCACCTGACTCCTGCCACTATATATACAACTGATTATTCATATTTACAATGAATATGATAGAAGCTGGTCCAGAGCGCAGTGTACCGCCATCCATCGGCTTCGTTTGGGCTTTCCCACAGCCAAGATGATGGTAGACAAGGCTGAGGAGATGTGCCAGTACTATCAGCACGTTGTCCAGCGGCCCCTAACACACTATCTTCTGGAGTGCGAAGTTACTGAGACACTCCGCAGGCAACTAGGAGTGATATTCCCTCCCGAAGAGGACCCAGAGATGACTGCGGCCACACTAGTGTACCATGGAGTCAACGAACCAGACAAGCTGTTACCTGTGATAACGACATATCCTCCTCCTCGCTAGTGTCCATAGTTAGGAGTACATCGGGAGCCAGAGACGGGTCATCGCAAGATTGAGACCCGTGCCAGGACTACGGTCTTGGCGAACATTATACATCATACATCTTTACGATACTTTCAGTGCCTTCCACCTCCTTCCCCCTTACCATTCCTATACTGCCAACAACTGCCTCTACCCTTCCAAACTCAATTCTTTCTCGCTTAACCTCAAATACTCTAATTCTGATCATGCCACTATCTGTCCCGGAAATTTATTGTACCAGATCACTGGCGCACCTCAGCTGAAAGTCTTTAAAACCAACTCAGGCTTCAAACTCCTTCTTAACAGACATTCTTACGAAACGTACACCTCAACCGAGACCAGACAAAAACTTCTCATCGCAGGCTTCACTATTAATAACAAAAAAAGGCACAATACCGCGACTGGAACGATACACAAATAACCCGCACATAGAAGAGAGGAGCTTACGACGACGTTTCGGTCCGACTTGTACCATTTACAAAGTCACACTAACCAGAAGTGTACCTTCACTCTGGCTCCGCTATGTGGATGACATCTTTGCTCTGTGGCCTCATGACTCCAGTCTCTTCCAACCTTTTCTTGAAGCTCTTAATAATCTTGCCCCTTCCATTAAGTTTAAAGCTGAATGGGAATCTAATTCCTTGCTTCCTTTCCTTGATGTCCATGTCCACCGCTCAGATACAGGTTTTTCCTTTTCCGTTTACCGAAAACCTATGCACAGTGGCATGTACATTCACTACTTTTCCTATCATGCTTCCCCTGTCAAGAAAAGTGTTCTTATCTCCCTCTTTCTCCGTGCCCTCCGCATCTGTGATCCTCAGTTCCTTCCAGCAGAAATTTCCACTCTTCATAATTCGTTTTCCCGTCTTGGCTACCCTTCCCATTTCATAGACTCTGCCTTCTCACGTGCTAAACGTATTTTCTTCTCTCCCAAATTCTCTACTCCTGGGAACTCTTCTGTCCTCTGCCTTTCCTACATTTCCGGTCTTTTTAATCTCAACAATTCTCTCCGTCTCTTAGACATCAAGCTTACTTTCCGCCAGACTAACACTCTTCGCACTAATCTCGTTTATACCTCTCCTCCCTCTACAGATGTTCCTGGTGTCTACTCTATTTCTTGCTGCTCCTGTCCTCTTCAATACTTTGGAAAAACTGGTCGATCTCTTTCTGACAGACTTAGGGAGCACAAAAATAGTGTTAGGCTTGCCGACACTAACAATGCTGTTCTGTCACGTCAGAGATCACAGCCATCCTATTGACTGGCCTTCCGCTAAAACTGTCTTCCCTACTTCCAACTCTAACAGTCGCCGTCTAGTTGAATCCTCTCTAATACACAACTTTCCTTGTATGAATCTTAGTCCTGGCTTCGTCTCTGTAGATGCCTTCCTCTCCCACTACATTGTAAAATGTTCCAAACTTCAGAACACCCGTGACTTAACCTGATTCCTCATTTTTCTTCTTCTCCCTCTTCCCCTTTCCTCTTTCCTTTTTTTTTGTCTTCCTTTCTTCTGTCGCGTGTTTCTGTTCCTTCATTATTTATTTCATCACTTCCCCTTCCCCCCACCTCTGTGCACTTGCTCTCCCTCTGTGGGCACCAGGCTCCCTTGCAGTGCTCCCCTTTCTTTGTATTTGACTGGCTCCTCCTCCTCCTTAATTCCCCACTACTACCACTACTACTACTACTACTGCTACTACTACTACTACTACTACTACTACTACTACTACTACTACCACTACTACTACTACTACTACTACCACCACTACCTCTTCCTGCTTATAGCCGTCCTGCTACACTTCTGGTTAGTGTGACTTTGTAAATGGTCCAAGTCGGACCGAAACGTCGTCGTAAGCTCCTTTCTTCTATGTGCGGGTTATTTGTGTAGGCTTCACTATTATTTGGACTCCTGAGCACAGCGCCAAATGCACAGTGATCGCAAAACACGTAGACTATTCTCTTCTGACTGCCTATGACACAGACAAAGAAGACTTAATTCAAGACCAAAGTCTCTGTTGACGATATTTACAGACTAGAAAACTCTACCATCCTCAAAATACGCTGTTCAACTCCTGACGCCTCTACACTCTTCAATCAAGGAATCCTTGCCAAGACCATCCGCATTCCTCCAAACACTCTCTTCACTCCAAACTTCCACCCCATCACACAATGTCTGAAATGCTAAAAATTTTTGGCCCCGACAAAAACTCATGCAATCCCCCAAAAACCCCTGAGACTTTTAAAGCGTGCCTCGTTGTGCCCCGGGTTTCTGGTGTTTTTCACGGCGCCCTTACGTGTTTGAACTTTAATTTGTGTTTTCAATCCTAGGGCGATAATCCCTCTAGCGCCGGGAAACCCAATCTTGGGGGGAAAAAACAAAATTTTCTGAGTCAAAAAAGGAAAAATTAGTGTGCCTCCCCTGGCAGATTTTAGGCCGAGGGAATCTTAGGCCTTTTTTGCCCCGTTTTGGAAAAAAATAATAAAAAAATTAAACTTTGCGTCAGAGGAAAAAAAGTCCCCCTGAAAACATTGATTTTTAACTTAGTGTAAAGTTATACAAGTGGCCCCCTAGTAAAATTGATGTAAAGGCAAAAGTTTTTTTGAAAACGGGTTTTAAAATTTGTAATAAAGTGATAACCCTTTATGAGGCAGGTGCCGAAGTCGCAAAAACTTCCCCACAGTGGTCGCTTTTTTTAAAAACCCAAAGGGCCTGCTAGTTTACTGCAATAATCTAATGATCCCAGGGGAATAGCGAATACGTGTTGTAGTAGAAAATAACCGTATTAAAATTTTTTTACTTAGGGGGAGTGGAGTGATTTCATTAGTTTCTTTTTTCTTGAAATACCAGACGTTTTACTGTAAAATTTTCATTTAACCTGTAGTTCCCAAAGCGGTCCCCAAATATACACAATGAGAAAAATTTTATTACCCCCAAAAAAAAAGCGCCCTTCCCCCCAAAATTTGCACCAGTAAAACTAAGTGAAAAATATGCATTTATTGTGGTGGGAGGGAAAAAAAAATAGAAAAGTGGATACAGCGATTGATAAAAAAAGGGTTGAGGTCAAACGTTCGTCTTGTAGGCGTGCCAGCATTTCACGGCTCTTAAAACACGCAAGTTTATTTTTTGTATAAAATAAAATCCCCTTTTAAACTCGGGTAGATAATTTCCAGTAGATCCTTCATGTTTTAAAGCTCAAATCCCCGACCAGTAGGGTTTTAAAAAAGTGACCCACTAAATTCAGATCGGGTTTGGGACTGGTCCGAATTTTTGGGACTGGTTTCAAAGGGTTTTCGTTGTGCACTACTTAAGCAGGTTTAATAAAAATTTTTAAAAGGGGTTTGGGTTAGTTAAAAATTGCAGTAAATCAACCATTAAAAATCATTATAAAAGCGGGGGTTTTGTCTGGGGTCAGTCAAACAAACGGGCTTCCAATGCATAAATTGTCTTTTTTGGGGAAAATTTGGGGTTTTTTAAAGCACTTGTGCAGATATCCAAAAAATAGCTAAAGCGTATTAAAACGGGGAAAGTTTTTTTGGGGTATCCCCAAATGAGAAAAAATCGTGGATTTAAAATCACAAGGGTTTTTAAAAAGAGGTCAACATAAAGGCTTTCATGGGGAAAACCTGGAAGTTTTTCTACAACAGAGGGGAAACCCATAAAAAATTTTGGGCTGAACGGTACTCCCCTTGTACTGGCCATGTAGTCAAAAAACTGTAAGGGGGGAGATGATGTCTGGTAGTCAGAAAAAGGGGGGGTTTGATAGTGCTGCCCTGGGGACAGTAATGGGGAAGCGGGGAGGTGCGTCCTGGGAGACATAAAGGGGGAAAAATGGAGGTGTTTGCCCTGGGGGGACAGTAAGGGTTTAAAAGCTGGAGATCTGCCCTGGGAGACAGAAAAATGGTGAAGCGGGAAGATGCGTCCGGGGGAACAAAAAATGGTGAAGCTGGGATTTTGCCCAGGAAATTTGGGAAATTAAATACGCGGGAAAAGGAATACATAAAAAAGCCTCATAGGGGACAGGGGCCATAGTAGGGAAAAAAAGGTGTAGTAAAAAGATAAGAAAAATCAATATTGAACTAGAAATACCCCAGGAAAAAGGAAAAAAAGGGGGAAACCCCCTAGCAATAAAAGGGGGATATATTACAAAAACAACTGGGGGAGTCCCTTGTTGGGGGCTAGGGAGGATAGA